GATGCCTGAGCTCTGAGTGATTGTTTGTTGGGAGTTTCCAGTTGAGATTGTGGACTGCCACCAAGTGAAGACAACATTATTTGAAGTTAGTAGTACAGTTCATTTTTCCCAGTTCTTTCTTTTCTCATGTATATATGCAGTGTGTGTTTCTGTGTGTGTGCATGTTTGAAGGTATGTGGGTGTACATGTGTGTGCAGGCTGTGTGCACATATACGGACACACCTGTGAAATGCCTAGACTGAAGGTGGTAGTCTTCCTAGATCACTCTCCACCTTATTCATCGAGACAGGGTCTGTCAGCTGAACCCAGAGCTCCCTGATGACATCTTACTCAGGACCCCCGTCTCAGCTTTCCCAGTGCTGTAATTACAGGTGGGCTACCACACCTGCTCTGGAAACTGCCAAGCCTTCTCCCCAGACTCTATTATTTCTTTTTTCTTTTTAAATTAATTTATGTTTTTACATTCCAATCCCAGTTCCTCCTCCTCCCTTCTCTCTTCCCACTCTCCACCCCACCTCCCATCTGCTCCTCAGAGAGGATAAGGACTCCCCTAGGAAGTCTACTAAGTCTGTCCCGTCATGTCATCTCGTTGAGGCAGGACCAAGGCACCTCTCCACCCCCACAACCCTGTGTCTAGGCTGAGCAAGGTATCTCTCCATATGGAATGGGTTCCACTAAGTCAGTATCTTGAACCCACTGCCAGGGGCCTCATACACTGCCCCAGCTGCACCATTGTTGCCTATATTAAGGAAGTCTAGTTCGGTCTTATGCAGGTTCCCCATTTGTCAGACCTGAGTCAATGATCTCTCGCTAGCTCGGGTCAGCTGATTCTGTGGGTTTCCCCATCATGGCCTTGACTCCTTTGTTCATAGTATCACTCCTCCCTCAATTTGATTGTACTCCAGGAGTTGGCCTAATAGTTAGTCGTGGATTTCTGCATCTGCTTCCATCTGTTTCTGGAAGAAGGTTCAAGCTTCTCTGGGGTTATGGATTGTAGGTTGGGTATCTTCTGCTTTATGTCTGGTATCCACTTATGAGTGAGTACATACTGTATTTGTCTTTCTGGTTCTGGGTTACCTCACTCAGGATGTTTTTTTCCTAGTTCTGTCCATTTGCCTGCAAATTTTAGGATGTCATTGTTTCTTACCACTGAGTAGTACTCCATTATGTAAATATACCACATTTTCTTTATCAGTTCTTCAGTTGAGGGTTATCTAGGTTGTTTCCAAGATCTGGTTATTACGAATAATGTTGCTATGAACATAGTTGAGCAAATGCTCTTGTGGTGTGAATGTGCCTTTGGGCAATCTCAAATGGCAGAAAGACACTTAAGGAAATGCTCAACATCCTTAGTCACCAGGGAAATGAAAATCAAAACATCTTATTTTTATCTTAACCAATCAGAATGGTTAAGATAAAAACCACCGATGACAGCTTATGCTGGAGAGGATGTGGAGAAAGGGGAACACTCTTCCATTGCCGGGGGGAGGGCAAACTTGTACAGCTGCCATGGAAATCAGTATGGAGATTTCTCAGAAAATTGAGGATCAACCTACCTCAAGACCTTGCAATACCACTTTTGGGCATATACACTATTATTTCTTAACAGTGCACCTAGCTTATCTAGACAATACACTCTGCAGTTATCTACTGTAACTTGGTAGAACCTCTTGCAGACAAATATTTTATAATCGTGCCCAATGATCTCTCCCACAGAGGGCATGAAATGTCAGGGAAGAGATTATCAGTTTTATCATGACAATAGTGTGGTTAGTCTCAAGATAAGCTCAGTCAAAGAGAAAGCTAGTCTCTTAGTATGAATAGTCTAGCTTTTTCCCACTATGGCTTTTCATAAAATAACTTAAAGACTAAAGCATGCTCCCAAGTAATGTTGATGCACACTATAAAAACCCTGAATAAATAAGAAACGGAACCCAAAAGATGTAGATGTTTGTTGGTGAGGAAATAAAGTATTTATGATTTTTCTTATGATGTTTCATTGACATCCGGAGCTGCTAACCAAGTGACAAATTAATTGACTAGGTTTAAAGAGGAATGGATGTGACTTAATGAAGAGGGACAGGCTATGTATTATGAGACAGCTGGTTCTGCCGGGGCTGGCTTATGGAGACAATGCACATCGGACAGCTAATGAGTCTCTGTTGCATAAGATAGATTTTCTTTATAATAGAATTGCATGCTTTGTCTCTAAATGGGGTTATTATACACACCATTGCACAGTGTTTGAAGAGCTTGGTTGGACCTTGTAGAGGGTTAGGAGAGAAATAAATTGGAAGACAATCGTGCTTAAGACTGTCAATCCATCAAACTCTCCATATTTTTCTAAATTACCAGCACGTTCTCCCCAAACACAAATTTGTGTGATATACATGGCCAGAATGTTAATGATGACCAGATGTCACTTTGGTCTCACCAGTCAGGTTTTCCTCTGTAAGTATAGACCCAAATCCACATAGTCCGAACCCTCCCGCCACTACTGGCCATGGCCCCACTCTTCCTGCTTCCCTCCTGTGTCAGCGCCTGTGTTTCCTTTGGTAGTTCTTCCACCCACTGCAACCACAGATACGTATCACTTATTTGGGTGATTTAATTCTCAGAACTCTGGTTTTTGAATAGTTGGTTTTCCTGGAATTGCCCTCACTTTTCTTCCCACTGGTGGGTCCCTCTCTGTCCAGTTGCTCAGTTCGTTTTCTCTTTTTTTAAGATTTATTTTTACAGTATGTGTACGAATGTTTTTCCAGTGTGCATGTAGGTGCCCTGTGTGTATGGCTGATACTGGTAGAGTCCAGAAGAAGGCACTGGATTTCCTGGGACTGATTGGTTGTGAGCAGTTGTGTAATGATGATCTGGCTCCTCAGCCAGAAGTGCTCTTCGCCACTGAGCCATCTCTCCACTCACATTCAGCTAATCCTTAGGACAAATCCATTATGATTCACTTAATAACTTGGAGAATCAAAGCTGAATGTGGTGGAGTAAACTTTCATTCATTCTGCATCAAAAGATGGGTGCATAGGCAGGGCCTCCTCAGACAACGTGGAGGAAGAGATGGAGGCCTTTCGTCATCTTTTCCCTAGACATTTAGTTTGTGGTGGCTTTGGTCCTGATTTACTTTTTTTTGGCTGGATTCTTTTATTGATGTTATTGAGTAGTCTTCTGGAATTCTGTAGATATTAGTTTGATCCCAATTCCATGCCCCTTCCATGAAACAGTGTGTCTTTAAGCCCCTGAATTATAGGGAGGGTGATGCTTGGGCATCATAGCTATATGCTTGGGAAGGGACTTTGGACATTATTAGTCTCTTTTGACTTTGACATTTCCCCCCTCTGAAGTGAGGTAACGGCATTTGCTTCTTCCAAACTTCCTTCTCTGTGTCCTGACTCCTGGCTGAGCATGAGTAATTGAAAAACATTACACATGGGAAATAGTTCATGGCTTCTGGAGTCAGATGGTCTTTGCAGCCAAGACACCGTTCTCTCCTGAGCCAGATTGCTTCCTCTTCATCATCATGGGGTTCTTTACTTTCAACCCTCTGTGTGTCTGCAAGAAAGCAAGGTGAGCTGAAAGAAATGAACAAAACAGTTTCATGGGCTTCTCCACACAGGTCTCAGCCTCTCCAAATTGAATCTTGGAGCCTTGTCAGAAGTGTTATTTTTCCAACAGAGAAGGTGTTAAGAGGCTATAGAAAATAAACTCACCTCCTGCTGCTGTTCTCCCTCTTGCTATACCCATTTACTTCGAGGACTATATTGGAAGGTGTGACCGGAGGGTTATGTGACAAAGGAAGAACACCCCTCTATAATTCTATTTGTCTGTGTTCTCCTTATTATGGGCTTCAGGGTTTCCTTGTCGTCTCTGGAATAATGTCTTACAAGGCAGCTCTTTGCTTGCTTGGTGTATGTGTTTATGGAGACACTTAATTCCATCCCCCTCATTTTGAAGCCACAAACACTAGTCTGTAGATTGAACTAGGTTTTTTATAAAAAAAATTTCTCAAATTTGGTCAGGGGAAAGGAGAAACCTAAACCAATGGTAACGATGCCATAATAATGGATATATTTTCCTATTTTAAAAATGGGTTTTACCACTGAACTGAACTCTGGAACCTAGTTGCAGAGAGGGAGGAATGAAGATCAAAGGGGTCAGTACCAGGCTGGTGAAACCCACAGAATCAGCTGGCCTGAACAAGGGGAAAGCACATGGACCCCAGACAGGTACCAGAGACTCCAAGTCACTGTGTTCCTGCCTTCCACACTTGTCGGGTCACTCGCCAAAGCCCACAGATTCCATCCCAAGAACATTTCACATCTACCTGTGTTTGCTCCTAAGGGACCTGAGATTCAACTTGTCCTGTTTTCATCTGCCCTGAGGCTCCAGGACTGTTCGTCCTTCTGCTGCTCTCTTCCCTCTGAAGTCAGCCCAGGCATGCTCATTCCTGGCTCCCTGCTCCCTGGAACATGTGGTTCCCTATACAGCGTAGGCTCACTATGATCTGGGCCCTTCTCTCTTCCTCCTGACTTGTCCCCTATACTCACTGTTGCAAGGCAACTCCTTCTGAGACCACTTGAACTCTTAAAGCCACATTCTGTTCCACCATAGGATTTTGGCCTAAAACTAATCTCTTCTGTCTTTGTTTGGGGAAAGTGTCTACTCATGTTTAGGGAGGAATTCAATGATGCTTGCCTTCCCCACCTCCTCTGATAGCAGTCACTTGACCCTCCAACACTGCCCTGTGATCATATGTCCATTCAGAGAGGATGCTCATCATGTTTGTCTTGTTCCTTGTCACTTGACTGCAAGTGCCGGGCACATTCTAGGTCTGTGACAGGTGCTGGTGTGACAGCTCCAGGGTGAATGTAATCAGTGTACAACTGTCAAGTAGCTTAGAAGGAAGGCTCCGGAACTAGGGGCCCTGCGGGCGCAGTCCCTTCCCTTGTTTGGTCAGGCTGTTGAATCTTTGCTTCTGGTTATGTTTTCCCCAGGAAAAGGAGAAGCTGTATGTGGAACTGAAGCACGTCTTGGCCCGGCAGCCTGGCCCCGAGGCTGCAGAGCAGCTGCAGATCTACCGGCACACACTGCGGGAGAGGACCAAGCAGCTGAAAGTAAGTTGCAGGCCCTGCTCTGGGTTGTTGGGATGGCCGCCTTAGGGTCCTCCAGGGCTGCTCAGTGAGTCAGTCTCCCACCACGCCAGTTTTTCTCAGAGTTCATTAGACTCTAAGGATCCCAGAAGGAGGAGAGTGAGCCGTAAGGAAGGAGCTGAGGAAGGGTGGAAGCAGTATAATGGAGGAAGGGTTTACGTGGAAGGTCACAGAATGGTTTAGACGGCTCAGATGGCAGAAAAGACCATTAAACCCCATTGCCAAACTGAAGCACGTTTCTGTACCAAAGTGGCTTTCCGTTATTCTTTCCACCCACAATAAATGTCTACGAATCACCAACAGGTCCCCAGGGCCTTGATTCATGTCCATTTATCACATAAATAGTCATGAAAGGGAGATAAAACCATGCAAAATTTTGTTGGCATAATTCCTTTCCAAGCGACACAAAAGCCTGAGTTGGAGACATGGAGTATTTTATTGTTCTGTGAGCCTCTTGGAAGCTTTCTCAAAAACTGTCCATCTTCAGCTCCATCTCCTGAATGAGTAGTCACTGTCCTTAGGATACCAGAGAAGTTTTATGCTCGCACACACATCTGTGGTGTTCTGTGCAGCTCAGCTAACTTCTGGCATTTATCTGCCCCACAAGGGTGATACACCATACCTCCTATTGGGGATATAATAGGTAGCACCCTATGAGTGTAGGCTTAATCTTTGGGTAAACAAGACATTATAATACTGTGTCCTTTAGGTAAAAAGGACAGAAGAAGCCAATCTAATTAGAGTATTAATTTTAAGATTACTGTGAGTGCTCATTTAACATGAGATATAATTTGAATTTGGCAAAAGGCACACAGTTTTGATTACTTTTGTTTCTTGAAACAATTGAATATTTCAAGCAAAAAAATTTTTTTCTTCTTGTTTCCTCAGGGCGAGTATAAATTAGAAAAGTATTCGCCTCCTTTGTCTTCCCAACAGTTGGCTCTGGATAGTCCTCAATGGTCCCCCAAGGGGCTGTATGTTACAGCAATCCTTTACCTAAGAAACCCTTGTCTTTGGCTCAGAATAAAACCCCACTCCTTGCAGCAGAGGGACAGGGATGGGTGGTGGGGGTGGTGGTGGGGTGGGGGGTGGGGGGGGTGTGGTTGGGTGGGAAAGAGAAATGTAATTATCTGGATTCTCAAAACAGGGTCTTTGTTCCCAAGAGTGAAACCACTGAGACAGGTTTTCTTTCACCATGAAAATCATGTTCTTCTACACAGCCAACATGGCCATAATCATATTCACAACAGTTAAGAGGGAAGAGTTCAGAAGCAGACAAACAGGCAAAGCAATGGCCTCTCTTTTAGGAATACCTCCAAAGCAACGAGAGCATGCCCCTTAGAACAATTGGCTGCATTTTCTTGCCTGGATTCTGGTCAGGAGCACACCCTGGTACTGGCGTATTTTATGCCCTGTTTGAATGAGTACATCCCTGCTCTGGTACAGCTCATACCCTTTAGCACTCACTGAATCCAGCCATGGAGAGAGATGGGGGTCAGGCTTCCCATTACAGCCTCTCTCTTGCATTAAGATCCTGCATTGGACATTAAGGCCCAAGCTCCCCGCTTCTAAGAGCTGAAGTGTCCCACTGTAGAGATAGAGTGAGTTAGGGAATAGTCCCAGAGCATGCAATGAAAAGAATGATAGACGTTTAGCAGAGCAACCTGGCATATACATAAATTGAAAGTCTAGTTAGTGGCGGCTGGTGAGATGCTTTCAGAAGGGCTCTTACCGTAATCCTCAGAATCTCACTCCCTAGTTGTATTTTCTTTTGAATATATTTTAAAGGGCTAAGAGCTATCCTAGACAGTGTATCTGGGAGAATTTCTGTCTCCACTTATTATATTCCCTGAAACACATGACACCGTTCATCTGGACCCATGTGAATGTTGCTGCTAGCTCTCCTTTTAAGTATGGCATGGTATTTCATTTGTCACTGATTGTGATTCATGGGTCCTCAGCCAGATTAATATCCAGGTGTGGGCCCCAAGCCTATGGAAACATGCTGTTGAGCTACTAGTAATCCTGTACAATGGCCTACACCTTTAGCTCCTGGGATGGCTGTTAGCAGGGTAAAACAGATGTTTCAGAAAACGCTATGGTCTCCCTGTGTCCTTCACTAACGCTGCTTCGCTTGTCATGTTAGGTTCTGTCATCAGAGTTGAATATGTACGAATCCCAGAGCCAGGAGTACAAGTATGAGATCGAGAGACTTGGCAACGAACTGGTGGCATTAAAGAAGAAATACCTGGCTCAGAAACGCAAAGAACTCGTTCAGAAGTAAGACTCAGTCAAATGCTCTGAACTTGTGATGTCCGCTAGCTGATTGTTTCAGAAAAAATATTGAGGAAGCTGGGAGTGGTGGTCTTTACTGCTAGCACTTAGGAGGCAGAGCCAGAGGCAGGCTGATTTCTGTGAGTCCAAGTCCAGACTGGTCCGCATAGAGTCCCAGGCCAGCCAGGGCTGCACAGTAAGACCCCCATGTCAAAAAAAAAAGTTTGATGAATTTCTCAGAGCTGCCAATCTCAGTAGTATAAACTGAGTCATGGGGCAAACAACCAGAAGTTCATAACACATCAAAATTGATGTCTGACCTGAGGTTGATCTCTCCTCCCTTAGGAACCTAAGGGATCCACCAACACCTGCTCATTGATGCACTGAACGTGGGGCAGATGGAAGAGGGGGTGTCCCTTACTCTGCCGCACACACTGTCCTCATGGTTTGCCAACAACCAGGCAACAACTGTTTGCAGATGAGACTCAGTAACCAAACTTCTCTAGGCTAAATCGTTTTCATAGTTAAAACCATAAGCACTTTTGTGGAGGGGGCAGGGCTTCGCAAGGCTGTTGTCTATCACAAGGCAGGAGCCACCACTGTGATAGGGAACCCATGCTATGCTTTAGACGTGACTGTCTCTGATCATCTATGCTGGCGATTAGCTAGCGTACTCGTGGTGAAGTGTTGCGATCAGCTTTTCCTCCAGGAGATAAGGATATGAAGATGCAAATGCTGAGCTTGACATTTTGGGGTTGGGGTGCCCAAATTCTGGGAAGCAAATATTCCCTTTGCTTTGTTATTGTCATTTCCCTGTGCCCAGGGGGTAGGGCAGGAGCCCAGTTGAGTCAGGGAGTTTGAAACTTGGTCTGATTTTGTGGCCTTGCCAAAGCTAATCCAACTAATTCCACAATGACTCCCATTACGGGTTGAAAGTCATATTTGGTATTTCATCTGCATGGACATCTCAGGGACAGGGTGAAATATGGTTTGAGTGCATCTGCCTACAATCCGTTAGCAGCAAACAGCATATAAAGTAACTGGATGCAAATTCATTTGCCAGTAAAAATCTGCCCTTCTTGTAAATCAGGATATTCCCCTGGTCCACATATAGATGCCAACTTCTTGGTGGAGTGAAATACCGCCATGATTTAGAGAAGTCTGTCTTAACGTGTGGGTCTTGTGACTATCTGAATCCATAGTGAGATTGATTAAACACGCAGGGTCCCCAGCCCTGCTTCCCGATATCTGGATCAGCCTTAGAAATCTGCAACTTAAAACTTTCTGGGTGGATTTCAGCACATTGAAGTTTCAGAACCAGAGGGGGGAGGGAGGAACCATCTGAGGTAAAGAAGTCTTGAAGTGGAAACTCTAGGGTTAAACTAGGTCATATGGTAAGTGAGAAGATGGGTTCATACCACCTTTGGGTTCTTGAGGTTTGTCAGTTCATACCACCTCTGGGATCTTGAGGTTGTCAGTTCACACCACCTCTGGGTTCTTGAGGTTTGTCAGTTCATACCACCTCTGGGATCTTGAGGTTTGTCAGTTCACACCACCTCTGGGATCTTGAGGTTGTCAGTTCACACCACCTCTGGGGTCTTGAGGTTGTCAGTTCACATCACCTCTGGAATCTTGAGGTTGTGTTGCTGAAATATCAGCAGGGCTGGTTCCTCATGAGGGAGGGGTCAAGCTCTGAGATCGAGTTTTTTGAGCTCACACTCTGACAATAAGAGATTCTTAAAATCATTTCTTCCCCCTCCCCTGTATGCATACATATACTTTTCTGTTGTTGTTTTTGGTTTTTCAAGACAGGGTTTCTCTGTATAGCTTTGAAACCTATCCTGGAACTTGCTCTGTAGACCAGGCTGGCCTTGAACTCACAGAGATCTGCCTGTCTCTGCCTCCTGTGTGCTGGTATTAAAGGCATGTACCACCGCCACCCAGCATACGAACTTTTTATTTTTATTTTTTTTGCATATAAACTTTTTTAAACAAAGAAAAAAGTTTCTGGAGTCATTTCAAATTTACCTTCAGAATATTTTAACTTGGAGGTTACATGCATGCTCTCGTCATTTTGTGACGATAGGTAAAACATAATGCTTAGATTTAAAGATAGAAGTCTGACCAGACTCTGACACCTTCTTTCTGAGACAGGGGAATCATTGCACTTATCTCTGAGGGTTCACACACTCCACTTGAACCTGGTCATATAGTTGACGCAGTTCTAACCAGCTAGCTTGGCTAAATGGTTTATCATCTTTCTAGAACCAATTCACTTCTTGCTGTAGCTTGTGGCTTGCCCTAACTTCTTTAAAAAGTTATTTATTTATTTATTTATTTATTTATTTATTTATTTATTTATTTTGTGTGTGTGTGTGTGTGTGTGTGTGTGTGTGTGTGTGTGTGTGTGTGTACAGAGGTTTGGGTGTGAGTGTGGCCATGCCATGGTATGGGGAATGAGGTCAGAGGACAACTTATGGGAGTCAGTTCTTCCTTCTGTCATGTAAACCTAGGGATCAACCTCAGGCCACCAGCAGCAAGCCCCCTTACACAGAGCCAGTTTCTTTGGTCCCTGATCTCATGGCCAGGTTCTGTGGCCTTCCTGGCTACTCTGTAGTTCACTGGATACAGCAGGATGCGTTGCTCTCCCTTGGCTTAGCCTATCTTCACGGCTGCTGCAACCATCTACATTTATGACTCCTTGATCTTAAACAGATTTAAAGCAATGGAAATTCTGTGCCTTGGTTGCACTAGCTGCATTGATGGTGTTGGATACCACACACAGTTGCCAGCTTCAGAGCTGTTTCCTTTATTGTAGAGGTCTGTTGGTTAGTGTGGCTCTTCAAGTTCTGTCTTCACCTGTCTTCTCCTTGTCCTCCCTCGCAGCCCTCTGGCCTGGGGCTGGATTCCCTGGAAGTTCTTTTAAGTTGAGGCATCCATAAGTCAGTAGACAGAGAGAGGAGTTCATAGGAACACAGCAGAAGAGATTAAGGTGCTCGAGAAAATATGCAAAGGCAAGAACAAAAGTGCTGAGATGGTTCAGACTGGAAGGAAGAAGGCTGCAGGGAGTCATTATAATGGTCTATAAATACATTAAGCAGATAATGTAGAGGAGACAGTATTCCCATTAGTCAGCTTAGACCAAGCCAGAAGCATTAAGCTTAAGTTCCTTCAGAAAGGAAAATTCAGGTTATTTAAGGCAAGGGGGTGCAGGGAAGGGGGAGTAAGGACTGCCTGCATCTAACACCAGTCAGGAGCCAGACAAGTTGCCAAAGTCCGGGAAGAAATCCTCTTTGCTGGACCCACTCAAGCCTGCAGCTTTTGTCCTATTTATTGAGGATGGGTTTTCACAGTAATGAAATCAATTCTACTGAGAGCAGCTGAGTTGATTAACCATCACTCTATAGGTTCTTTCCAAATGGAATAACTCAGAGCCTTCCCTGTGGATGGACTTTTCTGCACGCACACACGCGCACACACGCACGCATGCATGCATGCATGCATGCATAATAACTCAGAGCCTTCCCTGTGGATGGACTTTTCTGCACGCACACACGCATGCACGCGCACGCACGCACGCACGCACGCACGCACGCACGCACACACCCTTTAGAAAATAGCATCTCATATCATTTTTTGCCTTTTGGATTCTTTCATTTTTCTCAGACACACTTTTCATCAGCCACTGGCTCCACCTCCGCCCCTCCACCTGGTTCCTCCAGTCTCCACTTCTTATGCTGGTCTGTAGTTTGCAAGAGGAGATCCTTTCCCCCAAGTCAGTATTCATTTCTCTAAGATCAATCATGTGATTTTGGCCCATGTATTTGACTTTAGTCTTAGGGGTTCACTTAATTTTTGTCCTTTATAATTCAAAATAGGTAACGTGTAAATACACTGTTTCTGCAGGAAAGGTGTGTGTGTGTGTGTGTGTGTGTGTGTGTGTGTGTGTGTGCAAGGGTCCAGAAGGGAAAATACACTGTAGATTTGTTTTAAGCAGAATTCCTTTTTATCTATTACCAAAAATACTATCTTCCTTTTTATCTCCTCACATTTTCTTGTATCTTAAACTATTTCTAGTAATTTCTGTTGCATGCTTGGAGTTATAGGAGAGTTTGTATTTTATAGATGTCCAAGTCCAAGAGAATTTGGAAATGTACCAGGTGATAAATGAGTTATTAGTCATTGTATCCAAGCCAAGAGGAAGGCTCTTTTGACTGATCTTTGGAACTAAACAAATATTTTTAAAACAGGATGATCATTACAAGTCAGAAGGCATCGAAGTCACTGTATTTGAGCTGTAATGAGGTCCTCTGTCCATATTTAGACCACCAGTAGTGGCATATATTTCATAACTAATTGTCTCCCCGTAAGTCTACATGCTGTCAGAAAACACTTAATTAGATTTCCACAACCACCTCGTCTCCAGCCAGAGGCTTTATTCAGTTGTTTTCAGTGGCTAGCTGACCCTAGGAACTTACAGAACATGAAATGTAGAAGAAGAGAAGGGTGCTGGGAAGGCTAATCGTCTCTTTTCTCTCACAGAAACAAGGAGAGAGTATCCATGAACAGCATCTTCTCAGAGTCCAAGAATTCTGGCCCTCGATTTACTGGGGGTGGATTTCCTCTCACCCAGACAACTAAGGTGAAATTGTAACTGGAAGCGGCTCAGGAAATCTGCGCTGGAACATTGTGGCAGAATCACCTTTAAATCTCTCAGATCACAGGTATCTCGAAAAGCTGGTGTCCAGCTCTCCAGAATGGGAAGAGATGGTCAACTATCAATGCCCTGTATGTAAGAGTGATGGCATCGTACTTGAAGCATGGACATTAACAGACTATAATTGAAGCTTTTTAATTAGGCTGGCCCTTGGCATAAAGCTGATCTTTTGTTACAGTCCTATAGGAGGACTTGAAATGCACCAGGTTCAGAAACTCGGGATGGATGAAGCTTTGGGTTTTAATTTCTCTATTATAGACATTTGAACACTTGAAGATTTTTGTATGGACAAAATATTTTATATGTGAAAAATTCAGTGCGTGCCCGCACATCTTCTTAGTGAAAATCTATTTTAATTATCCCTCATTAACAAGTCATGAATGAGATGAGAAAACAGGACACACTACTGGGACTTCAAAAAGTGTTTATTGAGAGTTATTTCTATGTGGGATGTCATTTCAGGCCTGGGGTAGGAAAATCTATTCTGAAGAGAAATGCCAATAAATACTTCATCATAAAAAAATCTTTGTAGAGATTTTGATCTTTGCTTTGGTAGAGCATGTCATTAAAGTTTAAAATGACTGAGAGAAGTGTTTAACATAATGATTCCAGCCAAAGGATCCAAGACTGTATTGATCTTTGCTTTGGTAGAGCATGTCATTAAAGTTTAAAATGACTGAGAAAAGTGTTTAACATAATGATTCCAGCAAAAGGATCCAAGACGGTGAAGTGAAAGGACTGGCTGCCACGCTTGGAGGCCTGGTGCTCGACAGTGA